AGAATTTTTAATGAACATTATTTTTTTATACTTTATTCATTACTTTGTTTAAATTTAGGTTTAAAAAAAGTGAAAAATATTGTATTTAGCATTTTAATAATTTATGGTTATGAAATACTGCATCGGACATCTGTGACTTATTCTGCGTTAAAGGTAAAATCTTTCAAACACAACTCACTTCCAAACAATAATTTTTCAAATTTGCACTTATTTGCAGTTATTTAGATCCAAGCACTTATTTGCACGCACTTATTTGCAGTTATTTAGATCCAAGAGAAACAGTAATTCATCATTGAAATCTCATTAATTTATAAAATTAATTATTGATAAAATTTTTGAATATGAATGAAAAAAAATGTTCAAGTTACTTTTTTTAGATTTTATATTTTAGTAAAAATATAATCCCGATAATCTGACAAATTTTTTTAGAAACTATAAGACTGTGTTTTATAATTAAAAATACCAAAATGTAATTTTACTTAATTAGAGTGCCAGAAAAAAATACGTAAAAGGGGCACGGCCAGAGGAATAAAATGCTTTTCCAAAATACGTCATGAATAATACTTTTTCCCATGGTTCTCTTAATAACCTCGTATCTTAGATTTCAGAACAATACAATACTCTATATACAGTTTATATAGGCAATATAAGAATTAGAATGGCCGGAATAGCCTGATTGGCAGGGCACTGAACTCACGTTTGTGAGAACGGGAGTTCGAGTCCAGCCAGTGGTAAATAGAGACCGGTACACGTTAAATCTCTCGAGTCACAAAGTCCTCCCTGTTCCCGTAATAAGAAAAAAATCAATACCTCTGGGGGTACTGAATCGGAGACTGATCGTTCTCTGGTTCAGGTCAAAATTACGATCTGTAGGCGAATGAATGGATGTATGAATGGGTCCGCCTTATAAACGGGTGTGGCAAAAGTCGAATTCTTGGCTCAGCTGGAAAACAAGAACAATCACACCCCTCTGCCTTAATGGCCGACAACAACAACGACGAATTAGAATCAATATTTTTGCATGCGTAACTTCTAGTAAAAAGTGTTTATATATTTCCTGATAATGGAGGTCAATTTAAACAGGTGATCAACTTAAAATGGTGGTCAACTTTACGCGAAATTTAAATTTTTGCTCAGTTCTGTCCAGTGAGAACGACTAAAAAACTTCAAAAGCGAGTTTTTCTCGCAAATACATGTTTCCAGTCGGCAGAACTCTTCATTCGAACTCTTCACCGATTGACTTCACATTTAAACCGTATGTATCGTTCGACTCACCGCTTACAGAATTACTTAATTTTTTTAAATTTGATTCCATATTTATTTATTCTTTTATAATAAATTTTTTTGGTAGTGATTTCATTTTTAAATATGAATTTAAAAAAAAAAAAAAAACGAGCTTTTTCCTACTCTTTTTTGTAAGCATATTCAAAATTTTTGTTTATGCTCATAATCAAAATCAAATAATCGAAATTTACTGAGCTTTCATAATCAAAATTTACTGGAATTGCCGATTCTGTCGCACCTCCTTCGAAGAGAAAAACTTCCTCAAATAAAAGCTATACAATCTCTATTTTGTTTACTGATTTGTAAAGATTAATTCGTACAGTTTAATTGTGTAATAGAAGGACCCTTTTCAGAATTTCTATTTATTCCACTACCTTGCTGAAAAAACGATTCCTGAAATGTCCCTTTTTTCCCCATCCTAATGGCGACCTTACCCAATAAGAGGAAGCTATACAGCGAGAGAAACTTTGCATAGCAAATTCTCTTTCAACCTCCGAATGTAATCTAAAATTTAAAATATGGAATAATTGAGTTCTGGTAAACCTAAAGTAAGCCATGAACTTTCAATTGAAAAAACAACTAACAAGGGAAACTAGGGAAGTGTGACTCGCCAATTTCGAAATAAACTAGTGGGATGTATGCCTCATGAGGAATAATTTTAGGGGGCAACATTCGTTTCGGCCCATAGAAGGTCCTGTGAGAGATAAAAAATNCCCTTGTAAGAGAGGATAACTTAGAATTATGCAATAAAGAACTTCTCTTTCAATAATTTGTTTGTATTTTGATATTTTGAAAAATGTATTTTTTGTGTTTGAAACTTTCAGGCTTACTCTAGGTTTGCTTGCAATCACTTTTTCTATACATTAAGTTTTAAATTATGATATGGGGGAGGATTTCTGATGCAGAGTGGTATAGCGTCCTCTAAAGACAAATTGCTATAATCGAGCAATAGCTGGCAACCACGAGAACAGTTCTCGATAGGCTTGCTTTTAGTGATTCTGAGAGCTCATCTCGTGATTGCCAGACAGTATTCAATTCCTCCAAAAATAGCATCTGCTTAACTAATAAGAATTACTACTATCATTCAGAGCATATNAAAACTGTTAGGTTAATTTTAAAAGAAAATTGACATCAAATTTTTTCAAATTTTTTTTCCAAAAAACTTTCCAAATTAATTGGAGTATGTAATTGCTAATTAATTAATAATTAATTAACAATTTATTTATAAACAATTAATAATTAATTAACAATTAACTAATAATTAATTTTCTGATCAATTTATTAAGTACCAAATTAATTAATTATCCAATTAATTACAAATTAATTGGATTATGAGACAATTACAATAACTAATAGTCTACATTGAAGTAATAAAATATCGATTTTTCTATATATTGAATTATTTTTTATCTCTCACAGGACCTTCTATGGGCCGANCGTACAGTTTAATTGTGTAATAGAAGGACCCTTTTCAGAATTTCTATTTATTCCACTACCTTGCTGAAAAAACGATTCCTGAAATGTCCCTTTTTTCCCCATCCTAATGGCGACCTTACCCAATAAGAGGAAGCTATACAGCGAGAGAAACTTTGCATAGCAAATTCTCTTTCAACCTCCGAATGTAATCTAAAATTTAAAATATGGAATAATTGAGTTCTGGTAAACCTAGAGTAAGCCATGAACTTTCAATTAAAAACAACTAAGAGAGGATAACTTAGAATTATGCAATAAAGAACTTCTCTTTCAATAATTTGTTTGTATTTTGATATTTTGAAAAATGTATTTTTTGTGTTTGAAACTTTCAGGCTTACTCTAGGTTTGCTTGCAATCACTTTTTCTATACATTAAGTTTTAAATTATGATATGGGGGAGGATTTCTGATGCAGAGTGGTATAGCGTCCTCTAAAGACAAATTGCTATAATCGAGCAATAGCTGGCAACCACGAGAACAGTTCTCGATAGGCTTGCTTTTAGTGATTCTGAGAGCTCATCTCGTGATTGCCAGACAGTATTCAATTCCTCCAAAAATAGCATCTGCTTAACTAATAAGAATTACTACTATCATTAAGAGCATATTTATAAACAGTTGTATACTATTTTTAGTCTTAATGATATTTAATGCGAAAAAGCTTTAAATAAAAAAATAAAAAATTTTTTTAACATGAACACACATAAAATAATGACTCAGCAAGGTGCGTTTTTTTTAAAAATCTTTTATCGCAATAAAAAAAATATTGAAAGGGGAAAGAAAAAAAAAACACTATTCTCTATCTCTTTTACCACAGGGTCGTTATCTCATTTATCAACTATTATCATAACTTCTGAGTTATCTCTTCATATTATGCAACTACTAGGAAATAAATGTCACTCTTTTATGTAACGAGTAATAAATATACTGCGCAGATACCGATAATTAAACATGCATATTGATTATTAAACATGCATATTGATTAGATACTTAAAAACAGAAAAAAGGAACTAAACTAAAAATAAACTATTATACACATAGACACATTAGAATAATATTTCCCCTTTTATATTATATATTTATGCCGTATCTGATGAGTATCATTTGGTCTATAAAAGTGGCGAAATTTAGACATCGACTCATTTCAACAATACCTAAAATTATGGATTCTATAGTAACATTTGTCACTTTCGCTATTATTATGTGTAGTTCCCAAGTCTTTACCACAGCGGCGAAGAATGAATGTCTTATCAACAAGACATTTTAATCCATCTCATCGACTTGAAAAAAATATGCATTCAGCCCTCATACCTTTTTGGCTTTATGCACTACATCAGCCCCTAATTCCAAATGAATTTTTCTGCCTCTTGAGTTACCAGTTCAGAATAATGCTATATTTTCAATTAATTTAATTGTGTTCATCAATATTAAAAAGACGAACCTTTTAGGATTAATAGCTAGCTCATGCGTTTTTAACTTGATAGCTATAGCTCCCACCGGGGGGGGGGAGCTATAGCTACCAAGACTTAAGAGGACGCTATACCATAGAAGAAAATTTTGATCACATATTCATTTTGAACCAAAATAAGTAATTTAAAGATTTAAACATAGAAAAAATGAGTTCAGTCATACCTAGAATAAGCTAGCGTATCATACATAGAAGTTACAAATAATGAAATTAAATTTTCCAAACATCAAAAGGAAAACAAATTATAAAGGAATAGCTAAACATTATGCAATGGGGAAATTCTCTTCCAATGATTAGTTTACATTTTGATTTTTTTTTCCTCCAATCTTTTTTCCAGCAATTGAAACTTTATGGCTTACTCTGGGGTTGCCTCAACTCACTTTTTCTGTACTTTAAATTTTAAATTACTTATGGAGGTGAAAGAAAATTTAGGATGAAAATTTTCTCCCGTGGTTATAGCGTCCTCTTAAGGGGATTCTAACAAGGGTATGGTTATTTGAGGAGTATTAAGGATTTGTATTTCTAGAGAATCGCTAAGAAGTTAAAGAGAAAATCAGTATAGAGTGCACATTAAGATACATAAATTACTTGGTTCGGTTTCGAAGAATTATTTACCTTTCTAACTCAGCATATAATGCTTGTCATTGAAGCAGTAATTACACTGAAGAGCCAAAAAAACTGTTACAGGCATGAGTATGCGAAGAAGTATGGAGCCAATCAAAGTACAGCGCTGCGATCGGCACCTCGTATATAAGACAACGAGTGTCTAGCACAGATCTTAAATCGGTTACTGCTGCTACAATGCCAGGTTATACAGATTAAAGTGAGTTTGAACGTGGTGTTATAGTCGGCGCACGGGAGATGGGACATAGCATCTCCGAGATAGCAATGAAATTTGGATTTTCACGTACGAATATTTCACGAGTATACCGTGAGTATCGGAAATCCGGTAAAACATCAAATCTACGACATCGCTGCTGTCGGAAAAAGATCATGCAAGGACGGGATCAACGACGATTGACGAGAATCATTAAACGTGACAGACGTGCAACCCTTCCACAAATTGCTGGAGATTTCAATGCTGGGCCATCAACAAGTGTCAGCGTGCGAACCATTCAACGAAACATTATCGATAGGGGCTTTCGGAGCCGAAGACCCACACGTGTACCCTTGTTGACTTCACAGGTATACCAGTTTTTTTGGCTCTTCAGTGTATATCAAAATAAAAACAAAATAAGATGTTTTTTAACGATAGCAAATAACGATAGCCTCTTTGCGATTTTAACATGAAACGGCGCCATGAACTTCGCATGAATTTAAAAATTGTGTGCTCCTCCCGCTTTCTTAAATTTTCCCAATCTGTAAAAAATTCCGGAGAAATATTACCGACACTGAAGCTCCCGGTACTTTTTACCGTAAAATCCATTTTTACCGGAACATGTTACGAAATAAAGAATTTCATTTACCGTAATTTTTACAATAAGCCATAAAATCAATTAATCACTCTTATTATAAATAAATATTACTGTAAAGTTTAAGGTTTAATATTTTACGATGAAAACGGATTTTATGGCTGATGCACCTAAAGTGTTGGTACTTTATTCCGTAATTTGAACCCGAAATTTGATTGATGACTGTAATATTCTTAACAATATATGTTCGATTTTAGTTTTGATACATGATGTTTCATAACAGGGATTTCCAACTTACACGAGGCCGCAGGCCACAATTAAAAATATAAATCAAATGGCGGGCCACAACTTTATCAAAATTTTATGAAGGACTTTTTTATGTTTGAAAGAACATTAAATATTACTGTCAGATTTTTAATCAGTTGCACAAAACAAAAGTATTGAATTACACATTGAAATAAGTAGATTTTTAAAAATATTTAATTGCTTTTAATAATATTTTTAAAAATATTAAATAAATAATAAAAATTCGGGCTACAATACCTTTAATGTGCACCTATGTATTAAACAAATATTGTGCAACAGATATCTAATTGTAAAGATATAAAACTTTAAAAAGGTTGGTATTAAAACTTACATAGAAGCACGTAGCACGCAAAATATTCAATGAGAAAATTGAGATATGTGTGCTACANGCTGCTCGCCAGATTTTATTGCATTATAAAGAAAAGTTATTGAAACTAAATACAACTAAATAAACAACAACAACTAAAACAAATAACAACAACTACTAATAACAATAACTAAATAAACAACAACTAAATTCCATTCGTTTAGCATTGCGTCATATGTTGTTCCTACTAAATCGAAGTAGTTGTGCTTTTTTCATATTATACCCAATTGTAAAAAATGAGTGAAAACAATTCCACGGACAATGCGACGGATTTCAGGTTATGTCAAGGTGCGTCTCTTGTGAATATCAATTGATTGTTAGGTTTTCTCTTCTGAAATTACATTATGACGCATTCATATACATTATTAATACAAATACATTTTCCCGGGAGAGACGATGAGGCAACCCCAAGCACTTCCACAGGTTCAAGAGGTCCACGAGGGAAAAATCTACAATATTACCGTGATTACAGAGCACGGAATCGAGCGGAGCAGGAAAAAGAGTCGTTGAATAGAACTAGTGATCCTTCTACGACTGCTGATTCTTGTACAATTAACGTCGCAGGTTGCGAAGTTTAACTTCTTCCGCGCGGAGGGACTCCACGCACTATTTTTTTTTCCTTCTTTGGTTTATCAATTAAAAGGAATTTTATTAAAATGTGATTATTTTCGGATTTCTAGTTCCAACGCTTGATAGTTCGTATAGGTATGAGGATGACATAGATGCTCTTATTGTTAACTAATACAATATAGTTCTTTGATTTGATTTGAGAAAATGTGTTTCTTTCAATATTAGCTAGTTGTGCGCAGTTCATAGATTGCAGGCTCACTTAATTTCAGTATAATGATAAAAAATAATATTTAATAATGTATACAGTTCAAATTGCAAAGTAATTTCCTGAATTTAGTTTTTTGCAAACACTTGAAAATTAGTATAAAGATGTCCCCAATATAAATGCGTTGGTTATCATTTACGATTTTTACGTACCTAATAACCAAACATTCGCTTTATATTTTCTGTAACTTAAAAGACATGATTATAGAAGTGTATCATACCCAAATTATTAAAATACTTCAAATGGTACGAAAAATTTATCTTGAAAACATATTTGTTTACTTATTTTTACGATGGGTAGTCGAAAATTTTTGTCATAGCAAAGCAGGCGATGAAGCAGGAAAACATTTTTTTTCAGCATTTTCCGATATCAAACAACCTTTAGAGTCAATTGATTTAATAAATATTAGTCAAAATGCCATGATGATACTGCAAGCGCCATCTATTATCATTTTACTTAAATTCAATTAGAAAAGAGATAAACGCCTTTCATATTTGCTAAATATAATTAGTATACATTTTTAAAAAACTTTTGATTCGACAAATTCTGTTATTAGACTATAAAAAGGAAAAGTTTTTTTTTTTTCCACTTAGTACCGTTTGTTATGACATTTTCTTTATTTCCCCCATTTTGTCCATAAAGCATACATCCAGTTAAAAGGTTTTAACATTGCAATTTGACTGCTCATACCCTCTTACATTTATTAGATTTTAGAAGTAACTTAAAAAGTAACTTAACATTAATAAAATTACGTTTTAGAGATTTTTGTTGAAATTTGAGTTTTGAAAATATTGCTTCCGAAACGGTGCGCGCTAACAAAAAAAGAGAAGATATTAAAAAAAATTTTTTTGCATTATTGCATGTTAATAATTAAATAGAATAATGTGGAAAATATTGTCAAAATTTCTTAATGTTCCAGTTATCGTAAAAAACGTCAGGCTAAACGATCCAGCTATTAAAATGTTTTTAAAGTTTAACTTACAACAATGCATTATAATAATTTCTCTTTCCCGATATTGCTTTCAGACTAATCTGCACAAAAAAGTGATGAGTGGTTATAAACCTACCCCCTTCAAAAAATAAATAAAAGTACTTACAAACTGCACAAAAAAGCCTGTTCTTATTGGTGAGCATGCATACATATAGACTTTTAATTTTATTTATTAGTTCTTTTGTATATATAAAACATATGTTTCGGTATGTTAACAATTTATTTAAAACTTATATGTGTTTCGATCTACCAGTTGCTTCCATTTTATCTTTTTTTTAATCGGGAAGTTATTTGGTTTGAAAGAATGTTTCTGAAAACTGCTAAGCTAAGCGTCAGAACAAACTAACTTGCATTAATAAAAATATAGTATAAAAAAGACAGATAAAAAAATACTTAAAAACTTATAAATTTACAAATAATGAATAAAAATTTGCAAATAATAAATAAAATCATTGGAGGAAAGTGAAATACTCAAAATGGCAAACTTCCAAATAAGCAGTTTTTCTTATTAGTTTTTTTTAAGTTTTTTTTTGTCATCACCTTTATTTAAAAAATATTTCTAAAAGGGTGTTCCCTCCAAAATACCTTTCGAGTGGCAAGTGCCGATGCCTGAGGCCTTCCCAATAAAAAAGAAAAAAGACCAGTTTAGTATAAGATCGTTTGAAAAGGGGATGTTAAGGGCAGGAAAAGGGTCACTAAGGCATCGAAATTGGTCAAAGGTGGAACTGCATTCCAAAGAATAAAAATAAATCTTTGTTAAACTTTTTTTTTATTTCTCTTTATTATTATATAGGTTAAAAAATAATAGCTTTCGCTGAAAAAATATTTTAGAAGAAATATAAATAAATTTTAACCAACTTGAAAAATGATATTTAAAACATTTAGCTCCTTATTAAAAAAATTATCATAGATTATTGAAACGAAAATTTAATTATGCTAAATTTTGTCTTGACGAAATATTTCAACTAAATAAGCTACCATATATTTTACGAAAACTTTTTTTTTTTCAATTTATATACACCACACCATAAACTGTATAAAAAATAACGAATGTGCTTAAGGGCTAATTTTAACAATGCTGAAGAATATCAAACTTTGGTTATCAAGTACCCTGAAATTAACACTTGAAACATATAAAAATGAAAGGCTATTAAAAAAAATATGCATATTAAAGTAAATCAACACGCGCTGTAAAATGTGAAAGTGAAATTTTATGGAGCAAATTAAAAATATTTTTAACTATGTGAAACATATAAAAATGAAAGGCTATTAAAAAAGATATGCATATTAAAGTAAATCAACACGCGCTGTAAAATTTGAAAGTTAAATTTTATGGAGCAAATTAAAAATATTTTTAACTATGTGAAACATATAAAAATGAAAGGCTATTAAAAATATATGCATATTAAAGTAAATCAACACGCGCTGTAAAATGTGAAAGTCAAATTTTATGGAGCAAATTAAAAATATTTTTATCTATGTGAAACATATAAAAATGAAAGGCTATTAAAAAAAATATACATATTAAAGTAAATCAACACGCGTTGTAAAATTTGAAAGTCAAATTTTATGGAGCAAATTAAAAATATTTTTAACTATGTGAAACATATAAAAATGAAAAGCTATTAAAAAAAATATGCATATTAAAGTAAATCAACACGCGCTGTAAAATTTGAAAGTAAAATTTTATGGAGCAAATTAAAAATATTTTAAATTATGTGAAACATATAAAAATGAAAGGCTATTAAAAAAAATATGCATATTAAAGTAAATCAACACGCGCTGTAAAATTTGAAAGTCAAATTTTATGGAGCAAATTAAAAATATTTTTAACTATTACGAAAAGACTATAAAATTTTGTTGGGTTAAATTTATTCAAAATTCTCTGACACGTAAATAAAAGAAGAAAAGAACGAGGATCGTAAGGAATTGAATCAACCAATCATAAAATAGAGGTATTGAAATTTTATGGAAACGTGAAGGATTTGTGACCCCGACAGATGTAGTATGCATCAGTCACTATTTTGCATCTTCGACCGGCGGGGATCGAACTCACGAACATGGATCCAACGCCCTATCAGTCAAGGTATCCAGGCATCTGCCGAGTAGGAAAGAAGAAAGAGTTTTAAGTAGACGGTAAATTCCTTTCAGTGATATGACTATTAATTCGACTTGTAACGATCAGGAAGAAACTGCAACTTGTATTCTTCGTTATCAGTACCCTAGGTTCAGTAGAAATTTAAAATTTCCTAGCTAGTCGGAAAGTAATAGAAATTTTCATTGTAAGATTCCATCATCGCACTAACGAAAATGTGGTAATTGAAACGAAATAATTAAATATGACCAGCCGCAAAGAAATGTTGCCAGTCATATGAGCCTACACACATTCGTAGACTAAATATTGTAATATGAGCGAATACTGAAACATAGCAAGTAGTCATTTAATACATTAAGTAATATTAAAAGATAATTGTGAATAAAGGTATTCTTAAAAATAATTTTAACTGATTATTTTTGGGACAATAATCCTAAAATCTATTCTGGCATGCAATTAAAAAATCAACGTCAAAAAATTTAAATTGAGATTTTAATATATTAGACATCTTCATATAGTAAGCACCATATAGCGAAAAAAAAAGAACATTTACAAATAAATTTTGTTTTAGATTTCGAAATTCTACTTTAACATTCATAGCATTAGCAATAGGAGAGGAAAAATTGACAAGCAATTTTTTTCGGAATCAATCGTGAAGCACTTACGCTGTTTTTCAATTGCACGGCAGTATTGTGGTAACTGGATGCTAAATGCTAAACTAGATAACATAATTGTTTTTAACAAATAAACACTTGCCCTTTCAGTTACCAATCTTGTCATTCAATTGAGGCAATAATGTTATTGTTAGACTCATTATTTAAGCAAATATTTAAACAGATGGAAAAAGAACTGAAAGAAACTAGTAAACAAACAAAATATAAAATAATTGATCTGTGTAACATTTAAAAAATGGCAAAGTTGTGTTTGATTAATTGAATTTGTACGTCATATTCAACGTAAGACTGTCTAATTGATTTCCGTCTCTCCAAAACTTCTTGAAAAAAACTTAATATTATCTTTAACCTATTTAAATATGAGTGGTTTGCATTCTTTTAAAGTATATGGATTTTGTTTTAAATTTTTTTTTACTAGATTGCATGCCAGAGTAGTTGTCTATTTTATATTTTACTTTAACACTTTTCCATTTATATACTATGAAGTAAAAAAATTTCATTTTTTCTTGATTCTTGACAGGTGCAGTAAATTTAATCATGTATTTTTTTAAAATCTGTCTAAAGCAAAGCTCATAGCCAAACTAAATAGCTGTCACAAGGAAAAGGCATAATTTACTTGCACACGACCGCAAAATATCACCTTTATGTAAATAAGAAAAAGAGGCTAAGTTTGTATTTGAAATAGAAAAGATGTTTACATAATTTACCTATTGCCTTCGAAATGAATTATCTTTGGCAAATTTAACTACAAAGACAAAAAAAAACAAGATAGTCTAGCGCGTTTTATTTCCTAATTACCTTAACTAATTGAAGTGTAAAGACGAAAAGAACAGTTAAATGGCATAATTTTTTCCTCCTAAGGAATAAAAGTATAATGTTTGCACCAAGGGAGGCAGCAGAAATACTATTCTATGTATTGGAAAAATCGTATGTCAGATATATTTATCCTTCAGGGGATATTTAAAATCTTTAAACAAAACGTGTAATTTTCATGAATATTGTGCACATTATAAGAGAATATTTCGAATGTTTAGTTATTTGAATTAAAAACCGCTCTCGGCCTGAACAAGTTTTCATTTTCGACCATGTTTTTTGTAGAAAAAATTAAATAATATTCATAAAAATTTCTTATTTCATTAAGTTATTTTTCTTTTTTTTTCTGAAAAAAAAGTCAGAGGAAATTTCTTGGAAAAAAATATATATGTTTGTATTTGACTCTTCAAGTTCACTTTTATCATCACGTCATTTATTTCACACATTTACTTTATAATATTTTCATTGCAGTTACAATTCTTGTGTTTTTGAAAACGGAGGTAAAACTTGAACAATGGATGAATTAGATCTGTTTCTGGAATCAATATTGAACCCGAAGCGTCCTCCAACGTTCCCTCTATCATTACACTATTCAGAAGGAGTTAAGTTCCTGCAGTTAAGAAAATATAAACTAGCTCTTGAACAGTTCAACAAAGCTTATGAAATGGACCCGAACAGCTTTAAAGTACTTGTAAAAAGGTGCAAATGTTTCTTGGGAATGAGACAGTTCGAACATGCTCTTGCGGATGCCCGAGCAGCTTTGCAATTGAACCATTCTAGTTTGGAGGTGATAGATCTGAAAGGTAAAGTTGAGTATCAAAAGGGTGATTTTGAAGCCGGTTACAAAACTTACAAAAAGGGCTTGGAGATAAGACCAATGAATAATTTTTTGAAAATAGGCCGCCAACTTTGTGAAGAAGCCATGAATAATTCAATGAAGAAAGAAACTAAAATTATAATCGATAGTCAAGATATCTTGAATTTGAAGGATGCGCGTGAGCGCAAATTTAAACCTTGTTGGAGAGACAAAGTGCCATTTCTGCAGAACTTTTTAAGTGATAAAGAGTTCTTGAAGCAATTATTAGCAGATTCTGCAGCAACAGATGTCCGTAGTCTCTGCCAAGAGACCATAAGTCTTATATCGGAAAATCAAAGATTTTGGGCTATGCAAATGCCGTGCAAAAGAAAGACTAAAACGGATAAAATACATCCTAGGAGAAAAAGCGCAAATGTGCAACACATTATTTTTTTAATATCAAGATGTAGGTTTTTTAAGAAAAGGGGTTTGACAGACTCTTGTATATCAGAATGCAAGAAACTAATGAAAATTATCGAAGATTCCTCTGATATTCCTCAGAACGATAAATTGAACTTAAAAATAGATATCCTTCACTTGCTCGGTGCTGTATACAAACAAACAAAAAATTCTACTTTATATTTGCAATGCTTGCACGAAGAATTGAGATTGTCACAAGAACATGACATGGTAATAGGATTCATAAGAGCCTCGCATTCCTTAGCAAAGTATTATCAGAAATGGGAAAACCTTGCAAAATTTTACAAATATTTCTCGATCTTGAATGATAAATTAAAATCCGATAGATTTCATATGTTTTGGGAAAATCGAGACAAATTCAAAAATGTGTATGGCATTAGAGCTCTGCAAGAAGAATCACTAAAAGAAGTTGAAGAAGCAATGATCTGGGCATATGGTGTCGAAGCAAAACTTAGAAAACATATCCATGAAACAATACTGGAGCCGGCGTATGACATTATTAAAGAAACTTATCGTGAAAAAATCGGTCACCAAAATGTTGATCGGCAATCCATCGCAAGAATTATATCGGATTCAAGTGAAAGCGAAAACTTTTACCCGTTTGAGTCAGGATCAGATTCAGTAGCATCGGACTCAAGTATCTCGTCTATTTAGGAGTTCTATCAATAATCTATTACTTATAGGATAATATCTATAAAGTATAGAATATAGGATAATTATGATATTGGATTAATTATATAGGAATAATCTATTAATTATATCAGAAGTTCTATTTATCATGAAATGTATTTGTCTTTTGTAAATCATTCTTTTCCTGATGATTATATTTCTCAAACGATTAAATTATATTTCTCAAACGATAAAATTATATCTTCATATTCTACTTCCCGAACTTCCTCATCGTCTAAAACTCATTATTTCACTTTCCAAACAAAAAATTTTAGAAAATGCTAAATATTAATTACAAAATAGATATTACATAATCAATATTACATAATACTAGTAATGTACTATTAAAGGAAATATAATTTACATAAGATCATTTGGTAAAAAAAATTTAACATTCAAATAGACTTGTAGACTATTTTTCTTTATATAATAGGAATAGAAATTAATGTATAAAAGTTATAGCTATATATTTTTAAAATTATTCGAAACATAGTTAAACAATAAACTTCGTTATCATAACATAAATCGATTTGTAAAAATTTCAAAAAGTTATTATTACATAAAATCTTCCATGTAAAAGAACATTTTTAAAAACTTTTCTAGTTTGGAAACATGTATGAGAATACCGTCGAAAGTTTTATTCTCATAAATGCTCATAACAGTGATCCAAATGATTATATTTCTCAAACGATTAAATTATATTTTGATTTTCTTCATATTCTACTTTCCGAACTTCCTCATCATCTGAAACTCATTATTTCACTTTCCAAACAAAATATTTTAGTAAATGCTAAATATTAATTACTAAATAGATATTACATAATCGATATTACACAATACTAGTAATGTACTATTAAGAGAGACATAATTTACGTAAGATAATTTGGTAAAAAAAAAATTTAACATTGAAATAGACTTGTAGACTATTTTTCTTTATACTATAGGAATAGAAATTAATATATAAAAATTACAGATATATATTTTTAAAATTATTCGAAACATAGCTAAACAATAAACTTAGTTATCATAACATAAATTGATTTGTAAAAATTTCAAGTTGTTATTGCATAAAATCTTCCATGTAAAATAAAATTTCTAAAAACTTTTGAAATCCAAGAAAATGTTTAAGGAATGTTATAACAATTTCATCTTTAAAGAAAACGAGATATATATTATTATTAAATTTTTTATTGCTCTGTTCATTTAGCTATCAATCTTTAATACAAAATTATAGAAGTCAATATTTATCATGATAATTAAGTAAAGAGTGACATTATTTTTACAGAATAATTGGTTTGTAACAAAGTGGAAATAAATATTATAAATCATTTTGATTTTTTATTTATTAATCTTTATGCACATGAATTGAAATATGAAAACAAAAAGTAAAATTCAATAAATTCATTTTTGTAACAATACAACAGAATATTTTATCAAATTAACGCAGATTCTTAGATTTATGAAATGTTTTAAAATACTTAAACTTACTCACAATCTTTCGAATTTCCAAAAATATTCTTATGAATAGTTTATATACTTCAGCAGCACATATAGGATACTTGAGCATTTAAAAAAATTCCATTTAACTTCTTTTCGAACTACAAGCTGATTCTTTCGGTGCTGAAAATTTTTTATATGTCTATGGTTTTGCTCAAATGTCAAAGGCTGTTGTTTAACTAAATAGAAAACATCACTAAGCATAAGAAATGAGTTTAATTTATTTTAAGTACTATATTAAACACGACTCAAAAGATAATGTTTTGGCATATCGTATTTGATTCAAAAACTTAAAGTTGAATATTAGAAAACGATTTCGAAAATGCGTTAATTTATGGAATCGTTTGCTAAAAAAATTTAAATTTTTTCTTTCTTATAATGTATAGTTAAAGTGAGAATTATTAAAACATTTTTGAAATACAAATTATTTTTTAGAAACAGTTTGCAAGTAATTCAAAATTTAAAAGTTAATTCTAATATATTTTTGAAGAAGAAATTCCTTAAAATTTATTGCAGTTAATACGTCAACAGCACATGTAAAACATTTAAAATACCATCTAACTTCTTTTCTAACATCAAGCTGTGTGTTTCTGTGCTGAAAAAATTGTATATGTCTAGAAATTGTACATAGTTCTGCTCAAATGTTAAAGGCTGTTGTTTTGTTAATCAGAAAATATCACTAAACATAAATTGTACGCGTCTAAAATCAATATTTTTTTAATCTATTAATAGTTTTAAATGGATATTTGTTCTTTTTTATCTCGTTGAAACTCTGATTTTTTAACCACTCTGTAAACTATTTTAAATACTGAGGTAAAAAGGTCTTTTAACAGTCTATCTGTTCACTTTATCAGGCAGCATGACTATGTTGATTGTTTGCGACTCCATACATGTCTAGACGAAAATTAGGCAATTTAATAGCCTATTTATTCAGTATTTTTTCCTCCGAGTTAATTAAATTTCTGGGGATAGGTAGGAAAAAGCTCCACTAAAAATGAGTTTTTCACAATTTCTAAGTTACTTCCTAACTGTCAAATATATATAATTGGAATTATACTTTTGCCTTTCATATCTGGTAGTTGATACAAATAATGCTTTTAAAATTAATAACTTGAAATTTATTTAAAGGGATAATAAACTTCTTAATATGCATAATTATTAAATTAAACTTCTTATGCATTAAACCGTTATGCATATTAAGAAGTTTAATAATTATTTATTAAACTTCTTAATATGCATAACGGTTAATATTATTTTCTATTCGAGTTATACTTCAATTTTGTTTACGTTGAATTTTCAATTCAACCCCGTTTGATGGGATCTTTATTTTTATTATCTACAGCAAAATCTTGATATATGGAGTACAGCATATTACGAGAAGTCCCGTATTACGACAATTTTCCAAGTCATCGTCAAAATGTTATAATTAAAGATTAAAAAAATTATATGTTTATAACGGGTTAAAAATTTTTAACCTTTCGCTATTACGACAAAAATTTTTTAGGGAACATATTTTTCTGTTTAAATCAAAATAATTGTTCAAAATAAAGCAAAAAAAGGTAAATATCTTAATCTTTTATTGCCTTTTTTAAAAAACAAATATGGATATTTACTTACAGCGACAAGGATCACTATGCAATTTCATTTCATATTATGAATTGTCATTTTAACGGACTTTTACCATTCGCGATTGCAACACTCGAATACGCCATTTGGGGTGAACACCAGTGCATGACTTGACCCTTCCTCCTTCTCCCTCCTCCCCTTCTCAATTGTATAGGAATGAACTACGATATTTTCCTCTTTCTTAATATTTTTCGTATTTAATTGTCAAAAATATTATTTTTTGAATTTCCACTATGCTTTCTTTTAGAAATATGTTCAATATAGTTTTCAGTTCCAACTTAAAAGTTTTTAAACTATTTAAAAATCGCGAGAGAAACTAACGTATTTCCTTCTCCTATGACTCTCCACTCGCTACTGGTGAAATCATGCGAAGTGCAGCCATAGGTAGAGAGTCTTGCTCCACGCCGCCTGAAATTCATTTCAATAGCCAATATTTAACTCATTAAAGAATAAAAAGTTTCTCTCATATGAAAGAATAAATGTCACGGCGAAAGACTGAAATCGGGGTTGTTGACTTTCACCGATGAATGTCGACAAACGCCAAATACGTCGGTGAAAGATCGAATATTTCATTACATTCTTGTACATTCGGACCCTCACCGGTGTATGTCGACAATCACAGATATGCTTTGGTGAATGTCCGAAATATTTATTATATTCGATTTGATATGAATTTATTCGTGGATATAATTACATTTATTCGATATTTTAACCCTACACTGATGTTTTTTTAAGGTTAAGTGCCACTGCCCGGTATATCCTACACTGATGTTTTTTTAAGGTTAAGTGCCACTGCCCGGTATA